AAAATGACAACAGAAAATAGGTTGGAAAAATTGAAAAAAGAAATTTCTGAAACATATTCTGAAAATCCATTAGAAAAATGGAACACAGACAAAGTAAAGGTAAAGATAGAATTAATCAATCCAGACACTATAGTAGGAGTCAAACCTATGAAATATAGTGTTGATGATAAAAAGGAATTTAAAAATCAGATAAAAGAATTGCTAGAAGCTAGATTGATTGGGCCTAGTAAAAGCCCACATAACAGCCCAACTTTTATGGTTAGAAAATATAGTGAGATAAAAAAAGGAAAAGCCAGAATGGTAATAAATTACAAAAAGTTAAATGAAGTTACTAAGTTTGATGTATATTATTTACCAAATAAGGACACCCTTATTAAGCAAGTACAAAATAAAAAGATATTTTCAAAATTTGATTGTAAGTCAGGGTTTTGGCAAATCATGTTTACAGAAGAAAGTAAACCACTAACTGCATTCAGTACCCCCAATCCTTTGGGACAATACGAATGTAATGTAATGCCATTTGGTTAAAAAATGCACCACAGATATTCCAAAGAAGAATGGATGAGGTAATAAAACCAATTACTCATTTCTGTATTGCATATATTGATGATTTACTTATTCATTCAAATAACATTGATGAACATATTGAACATCTTGAGAAATTCTGTTATATTATGAAAAAACATGGTATTACACTTTCTCAAAAGAAAGCTGAAATAGCCAAAATAGAAATAGAGTTTTCGGGATTATTTATTAAAGAAGGAGAATTGCAATTGCAATCCCATATTGGAGAAAAACTTCAAGAATTTCCTGAAAAAATCAAAGATAAAAAATAATTACAAAACTTTCTTGGTATATTAAATTATGCTGAAAGATTCATTGAAAATTGTGCCAAATTAAAAAATTATTTTCTTCCAAAGTTAAGAAAAAATATAATGTGGTCTTGGAAAAAATAAGAACCTGAAAATATAAGGAAAGTTAAAGAAGATTTAAAGATATTGCTCAAACTAGTAATACCACAAGAAGAAGATTTCTTTATTCTTGAAACTGATGCTTCAGATTATTACTGGGGAGCCGTCTTAAAAGTAAAAAAGAATCATAAAGAATATAAATGTGAAAAAGATTGTGTTTGTCCTGAAATACTTGCAGGTTATACATCAGGAACATTCAAAGAAGTTGAAACAAGATATGAGATAAACAGAAAAGAACTCATTGCTATTAAAAGAGGAGTTCAAAAATATGAAGATTATTTATTACCAAAGAAGTTCTTGATTAGAACTGACAATACTCAAGTCAAAGCATTTTTGAAAAATAATGTTGATCCATCTATTGCTAATAGATATATTATTAGAATACAAATTTGGTTCTCATATTTCAAATTTGATATTAAATATATTAAAGGAAAAGCTAACTTTTTTCCTGATTATCTTAGCAGGTATGGAGCTAGAACAACTAAGAACGAAAGTCCAAACACTTGAGATAAAAGTTTCCTATTTGGAAACCCAAATTCAAAATATTCAAGATAGCCTTCGAGGCAAAAATATAGCCCTTGAGGCAGAAGTTACTTGTACCCAGACTAGTATCCCTTCGCAGGGACTTGTGAATACTAGTGCTCTCCCCGAGGATAAAGGAAAAGAAAAGAAGGTAATAGGAACCCCTTTACATGGAATACTTAAACCTATTATTGGTAATAAAGATATTCAAGATATCAAAAGAGAAGGTAACTCTTCACAGAGCCATACTCAATCTAAACTTTCTATTAAAAGAATATATCCTAAAGATATTGTCAAGATATGCCATCAAGCAAAAATTCCCAGAAAAGATAACCATGAAGAAGTAACACTCTTTATTGTTATTTTCAATATTTTATCATATTGGTATCTGGAGATTGGAAAGTGGATGAAGACTCTCCACTATTCAAAATACAACAAGATAAATTTTTATCCAGGAGCACCAGCCAACTGAGTTCGAAATTGCTTTAAAATAGGAAATATACTTTGTATATATCCTAGCAAAGATCTCAAAGAGATAG